CTAGAAGAAGAGATATATATAGAGCAACCTGAAAGGTTTCGAGCTCCAAGACAATGAGACTTTGTATTTCGGTTGAAGAAGAGTCTATACGGCTTAAAGCAAGCACCTCGACAGTGGTATAAGAAGTTTGAATCTTTCATGACTGGTCACAAGTTTGTGAAGACAGAGGCCGACCACTGCGTATTTGTGAAGAGGTATAGAGTCAGAGATTTTCTGATTTTGTTGTTATATGTTGACGACATGTTGATTGTAGGGCAAGACAAGATAAGGATAGTCACCCTGAAGACGTAATTAAGCTTGTCCTTCGCGATGAAGAACGTTGGCCTTGCAAAGCAAATGTTCAGAATCAAGATAATTTGAGATAGACAAAAGAAGTTATTGTAGCTGAGTCAAGAAAAATACATTGAGAAGATCTTGAAGAGATTTAGCATGGACAAAGCCAAGACAGTGAGCAGCGCTTAGCCGAACATATTAAGTTGAACCAGAAGCAATGTCCGAGATCAGATGAAGACAAAGACGAGATGTCTCGTACCAATCCGCCGTCAGAAGCTTAATTTATACGATGATTTGTGTGAGATCCAACCTGGCTTATGCTGTTGGAATGGTAAGCTGGTATCTTTCAAACCCCGACAAAGAACACTGAAAACAGTAAAGTGGATTTTCAATTATCTAAAAAGAACAATAAAGTTGTGCCTTCAATTTGGAGAAGGTAAAGCAGAGCTACAAGGATATACATATGCTGATTTAGGGGGAGAAGCCAACTCAATGAAGTCGACGACGGGATATCTGATGACATTTATAGGAAGAGCTATCTCCTACCAATCTAAGTTACAGAAATGTGTGGCACTTTCGACGACCGTGGTTGAGTGCATAGTCGTGACTGAGGCAAGCAAAGAAATGTTGTGGATGAAGAAGTTTTTCTCCGAACTCGGCCATGAACAAGACATGTACGAGCTGAGATGTGACAATCAAAGCGCAATTCATCTCTCAAAGAATTCGACGTATCACTCTAACACTAAACACATTGATATGTGGAATTATTGGATCCGGATGTGCTAGAAGATGGAGAGCTCGAACTCATCAAAGTGCATACCGACCTAAATTGGTCCGACTTGATGACGAAGCCGGTACTAGCAAGAAAATTTGAAGACTGTTGTGAAGATACCAAGTTATTGCTGATGCCAACGCATTGAAGTCGGAAGAGTTATAATTATTAGGCTTTTCCTCTTTAATGTTGTACAAGGCCCAATGTTGGTGAGTAGGACTCAAGAAACTTGGGGTCCAAGAAGCTTGTGTTATGTGAGAGGCTAAGGTTAGACATTTGGAAACAATTCTGAGAGGACCTCTTGGGAGAAGCTTGAGCATTAGACTTCCTTAGGAAAGTTTGAGAGAATACCACCATTTTAGGTGAGGTTTGAGTGTTCCACCATTATTGGTGAAGTTTGATATCTTGTACCCATTATTTTTATCGTGGAAGTTTGTCCCGTGGGTTTTTACTACTTCACATTGGAGAAGATTTCTCCACATTAAATATGCTTGCGTTAATTTTCTCTTTCTCCTTCGCAATTTTTTGTTTTTGTTGTGTGTAGGCCGACCTGGTGAGTTCAAGCCGACCTCTCTGATGGCCGAGCTCGACATTTGACATTCCCTCAAAGGTTTCTTAGCCGAGATTAAGGGAACGGGTTCGTCCCAATAATTCCATGGCTGGGATGTTGATATATTTGTATAAGAAATTCTGTTGGTTTTTTTGCCTCTACTTTCGAATTTGATCCATATCTTAGATTTCTGAATGCACATGCATTGGGCATTAACTGTTGCTTCTTGCTGCTTTTAAAATTCCTACAATTTCTTCGGTATGATCTTGTCAAACTTGATTCCTAAGCATCTCGTCATTATTTGTTCCCTTAAGAGATATCATACTGTGTGAGCATTCTTTCCACTTCTTATATACACCAGTCTTCGTGGCCTTCATTTTTTGCACCGCTCTTTGTTTTTATCTTTCCATTTGTTGCAACACGATTACCATAGTTTAACTTGATGTACTTTTTACTCCTCTTGTCTCTGGGCTGTTGATCTCTTTGCTGCACACTAACTGTTTGTTGATTTATGTCACCAAGCCATTACGCTTTAGTTTCTACAATTTTATTCTTGCTCATTCACAAGTCCTTTCTCTACAACTTAGTTTCAGACTTGCTCTTTTGCAGTTTCATGTTTGCTGGATTCCTCTATGGCCAATTTTGTTCAGATTTCATTTTTTGGGTTATGTATTTGTTTTCTGAGTTTTCTTGTACTGCCATTTGGTCCGACTTGATGACGAAGCCGGTACTAGCAAGAAAATTTGAAGACTGTTGTGAAGATACCAAGTTATTGCTGATGCCAACGCATTGAAGTCGGAAGAGTTATAATTATTAGGCTTTTCCTCTTTAATGTTGTACAAGGCCCAATGTTGGTGAGTAGGACTCAAGAAACTTGGGGTCCAAGAAGCTTGTGTTATGTGAGAGGCTAAGGTTAGACATTTGGAAACAATTCTGAGAGGACCTCTTGGGAGAAGCTTGAGCATTAGACTTCCTTAGGAAAGTTTGAGAGAATACCACCATTTTAGGTGAGGTTTGAGTGTTCCACCATTATTGGTGAAGTTTGATATCTTGTACCCATTATTTTTATCGTGGAAGTTTGTCCCGTGGGTTTTTACTACTTCACATTGGAGAAGATTTCTCCACATTAAATATGCTTGCGTTAATTTTCTCTTTCTCCTTCGCAATTTTTTGTTTTTGTTGTGTGTAGGCCGACCTGGTGAGTTCAAGCCGACCTCTCTGATGGCCGAGCTCGACATTTGACATTCCCTCAAAGGTTTCTTAGCCGAGATTAAGGGAACGGGTTCGTCCCAATAATTCCATGGCTAGGATGTTGATATATTTGTATAAGAAATTCTGTTGGTTTTTTTGCCTCTACTTTCGAATTTGATCCATATCTTAGATTTCTGAATGCACATGCATTGGGCATTAACTGTTGCTTCTTGCTGCTTTTAAAATTCCTACAATTTCTTCGGTATGATCTTGTCAAACTTGATTCCTAAGCATCTCGTCATTATTTGTTCCCTTAAGAGATATCATACTGTGTGAGCATTCTTTCCACTTCTTATATACACCAGTCTTCGTGGCCTTCATTTTTTGCACCGCTCTTTGTTTTTATCTTTCCATTTGTTGCAACACGATTACCATAGTTTAACTTGATGTACTTTTTACTCCTCTTGTCTCTGGGATGTTGATCTCTTTGCTGCACACTAACTGTTTGTTGATTTATGTCACCAAGCCATTACGCTTTAGTTTCTACAATTTTATTCTTGCTCATTCACAAGTCCTTTCTCTACAACTTAGTTTCAGACTTGCTCTTTTGCAGTTTCATGTTTGCTGGATTCCTCTATGGCCAATTTTGTTCAGATTTCATTTTTTGGGTTATGTATTTGTTTTCTGAGTTTTCTTGTACTGCCATTTCTATTTTGGATTTTTTTTATTGATGTTTAGCTTGTATTTGGCCATTTGATTTTATTTTCACACATAGTTGTGGCTTGTTTTTGCCATTGCTTGGCATATTGTTCTAATTAGGCTTGTATTTGATCAATTTGATTTTATTCCTATATATGTTTGTGGTGTTATTCAAGTCTGATGTGGCTTGTATTTGGTTTTGCCATTGTTGGGCTTTATTTTGGCTTACCATTCAGGGGGAGCATTTATCTTGGCTGTTGTCTGATCTGTGGATTATCCCAGTTTCAGTGGCTCCGTCGACTTTTATCTCAGTTGCGTAACTGATGTTTAGGCTGATGTCCATCCCCGCCCTTCCTTTGCTGATGTCCATTCCAACACATTATAGTTGATGTTCATTCTAGCACATCTCTTTACTAGCTCTTCATACTGATGGTCATTCTAATTAATTTGTTGTGCTACTGATTTCCCCTATTTATGTTCCGTGAAACTTCTTTTTAGTTTTCTTTCTTCTCAAGATGGAGTGTTCATGTTATTCACCCTCCATCTTGAGAGGAGTATTAGAGATATAAATATTTTATTTTAGTTTAGTTTTGATATTCTAGAATATTCTCTTGCTCTTTTATATAAGAGCCTCATTTATGTACAAATTAATCACTCTTCAATAAAATCAAATTTTCCCTTATTTTTTCTCTTTTATATTTCTAATATATAGTATGGGAGTTAAGAATAATTTTAAATTCTCTTGATGATTTTTCCTTAATAATCATCTTAATTAACTAAGTGAAGAAAGTTTTGAATGCATTTAAAGTTTTTGAGATGTTAAATGCATATTTTTTTTTATGTAATGCTTTTTAATTACGTATTTAGGAGAATTATTAGGAGGATATAACGACCCTTGAAAGTTTAATGGTGTTTGTCCCCGTGTTTGTACGATAAAAATCCTTTAAAATTGTTCTTGTAATTTCCTGAATGCACAAATTATAATAAATTTTTAGAAGCACAAATAAGTAACAAACGATAATACTTTTTTTTTTTTACTTTTATATATTGTTGTGTATGACGCTTGCTTTTGCTCTTTTTTTGTGGAAATAAGATTAGCATGTGTTGCAAATTTCAATGTCATCGACAGATGTCTTCGCAAGTCAAGCTGCTCGTGCATTGGGATTTGCGTTTTTTTTTTTTTTTTTGATATTGATGTGTTCAAGTATATGACTGTTCAAGTTTGTGATGTAATATTGAGTTGTATCAATACCTTTTCTTCAAAGATGACATATTCAAGTAAACCAAATTGATAAAGCAAGGTATCGTATTTATTGACCGAAACAATGGAAAGGGATAATTAGTCATGGTAAGAAAGATACAAGTCAACATTAGGCTTTACAACAAAACATGGTAAAAACAAGGAAAGTTCTACATAGACGTATACATTCAAGAAAAGAAGCAAAAGTGTGAAAATGACAACTGTAACCTATATGTTCGTACAATATAATTTTTATCTAACTTTCTCACTCCACCCTAAGAAAAGTAGGGAGGGAGATATGTTTGTGTACAATCATAAACCGTGGAGGGATCAATGGCAAACTGAACCACAGATCTTATGTCATCCCAATTATCATTTGCTAATATTGCATCCTCAGCATTATGATTCCAAGAACTTGGATATGACACTGTTGATGGAGCCTGATGAGTCACTGAACCAAACTGGCCCATAAACAAGTGTTTCCTTTCGTGATCAACTTGTCCAACAACTGGTTTCCTTTCAATTTGTTGCATGACTACAGAGTCTAAGGTACAAGTTTTAGAATCTATTGGGATTGGTTTGGTGAGTGTTGCTGAGTCTTTCAAATTTGGAGTGTACTTTTTGCATGATGGGATGCGTTTGAAGATCCTGCAGAGTGTCCACACCTCCTGAAAAATCACATAAAGGACTTAGTAAAAATAAAACATAATGGTTTCTTGTGAAGGGACTATACGGGACCATGCTTGCATGTGTTTTGTATGTAACATGTCAGTCATGTTCAACCAAAATATTTAAGTATTCAATGGATTTGACTTGGCCCTCATGCATTAAGTTCATCACATTGGACCACGGAAGAAATAAATGCATTTAATTTCACATTGAAAACCACAAGAGACCCTTGAATTATTCTGGAAGTTATCTCAGGGATAAAATTTCTTCACTCTATTTATTAGGAAAATTCTAACCATTGGAAAATTCTTATAACTGGGAAAATTTTCACAACATATTCAGATCATATTTTCTTGAAAGAAGCATTTTTCTTCTGGAAAGAAACATACTTTCTTCTTGAGTTGTTCAATATTAATAGTTGCTAATTATACTTTATAAACATCAAACATTTAATGTGAAAGTTAACAACTAATTTGTATTCGAAAAAAAGAACAGGGTAGCATGGCAACACCCCAAGTTTTAATTTAGTGCTATGTAAATTATAGTTGGTCAAATATTTTAGGGAGTGGATCCTCTCATGCTAAAAAAAATATGACATGATCATATGAGCAACCATAACCATATAAAAAGGTAGATTAATGATGATAAAAGAGGATACAGAGAAAATATTAAAATTTGTAGTTATTAAATCATAACCGTTGATTTACCTCTATATAGTTATAATTGTCCCACATAACCATCTCATATTTTTTTAACATGAGAGGATCCATTTCCAATATTCTAGCTTTCTTCATTCACGAAAGGTTTTGTAAAATAAAATAAAATAAATAAGGAATAAATTTTCTTAATGTTCAAAAGGTTACCCTGAGCCTCTTAACCAATAACCTAGGAGACATCGACATGAAACCTAAATTAGATTTTGAATGTGTTATATCTTTGACTAACCTAATATTGTTGTATGAAATTGAATCGGATTGTAAACCTAGAAGATTTTCACATCATGTTAAACCGGTTCAAGCATTTGATTTATTTGGTCGAATAAGATGATAACATAAAGTAATTCACATACTATAATATGAAATATAATAAAAAAAATTTAATGAGGAAAAAAGAATTTTTCTTTTCAAAATTAATAGTTGATTGGTTCAACTGGTCGATCTATTCAAATTCTAACTGGATTTGACTAGTTCAATGTGATATTACAATAAATTTGAGTGTGAGACAAGTGTCTAATTTAACAATCCGATCCGATCTGGTTTTATATAATTCGGACAACACAAGACTAACCTCTATTTGTTATGATATAATCAAATAATTTTACTAAAATTAAGTGTTTAGTTTTGCTCTACAATTTGTGTAATTTTTTTAAATTATTATAATTTAGTTATATTTAATATTGTTTATTATGATTATGACTATGTAAAATAATCTTACACAGCATGTGGATATTATTATAATTGAATAATTATATTTTTTTAATTTAGAGTTTTTAACTTAACTCACGCTTCATTAAAATATTTCAGAAAAACCAAAGAAGGAAAGACTCTTGGCATATCTGTAGAACAGTATTTTATTTTAATTTTCCCCCCAAAACAGGTATAAACTTCCCACAGCAGCCAAGATATTTTGTCCAAATATACAGGTGGAGGTTAATTGTTTGCATCTATGTATATGACAATTGACAAGTATACAATTATTCTTAAAAAGTCAAACCTTTTTAATATATAAATCAAAATTCATTAAGCCAGACACTATGTGATTATTTAGTTTTTGTAGGTTAAATTATTGGCTTGCGTGTGTTTATTTATAATTCTCCCTCAACATATGGGTATCCGATCTAGAAAAATTTTAAACATACAATAGTAAACATATATAGTCAGTTGAATGTGAACGATTTTCTGACCAAGAATTTCAGTAATTGTAATCTTTAATTTAAATATGTTATCCCTATATTTGTCTTATATGTGGTTCTAGATGCATCTTATATTTGTCTTATCTGTGGTATCAAATTTTGAAAAACATATATAAAAGAAAAGATACTAGTTCCCCTCATGTGATATGAAATTATGAGAGAGGATCTCAGCCATCGAAATACAAATCAAAAGTTATGGGAGAATATATTAGAAGAAAGAAAAGAAAAATGATCATCCTTAATTTATATCTTGATAACTAAGATTGTCTCACGTAACTTCACGTGACGGGATAAAGATATAAAGAAATATATGTTGAAGAAGCTATATATCTTTTGTAAACAAGAACTATGAAATTATATATATAATTGACTTACAGCTTCTTGAACGTCATTGGCATGAGGATTATTGTTGTTGATTTTACCATTAGGTGGAAGGCGAAACTCATGCATCATCCAATCAGTTTTGGTGCCTTTCCCAGCACTTCCACGGTAATAGACCAATGATTTCTTGAGTCCAATGCATTCATGTGGTTCTTTCACACAATATATGCTCTTGTCAATCCCTGTGGCTTTCCAGAATCCAGACATTGTTACCCTGTTAGGCCTTACGCTGTTCCTGTATTTTCTCCCTCTTCTACAGAAAAAATACCATTCTTTGTCCCCCAAAGAATTCACTTCTTCATGCATTACCACAAAATAAAACAAATTAAGTAATAATGAATTAATTATAGTTAAGTACAATAAAAAAATTCAAATGGGGTTGTAATTTCTCGTAGCTAGCCGCTAAATCTGAAACATGAGGCACACATAAGATATATCTAGTGTCAAGCATAACAAAATATTTAAACTTGAGATTTCTTCACATGAAAACTTTTCAAAAAGTTAAAATAGCAATTGAACCTAAACTATCTAATCTAAGTACGGAATTTTGTCATTGATATGATAATTAAAATTTTGCATAATGTTAGGTACCTTTAATGTGAAAAAGCATGTGTGTTTTTTTTATTTTATTTCCTTAGCTTAATTATGCAATATCTCATCTTTTCATTCATTTACATGAATTCATCTTCATCCAATAACTCTCTATTCCTTAATTATTGGAATCAATCATAAGCAAAACCCTTTATAAAAATTTATCTGAAGAAGCAGAACAAAATACTTATGTTTCAGTATATACACAAACTACAAAGGAACTTAAGCTTAAACAAATCTTACTTGGAAGATCCCATGGATCATATTTGTAGATGTCAACTTGTTTGATGAGTTCAATTCGAAGAGGCTTTTTCTCCACCTTTCTCTTCAGATAAAACCCAACAAGCTCTTCATCTGTGGGATGGAATCTAAACCCAGGAAGCACAACTTCTTCTTCCTTTTTGTTATCATCATCAGAACTATGTAACTTAGCAACATCCATTTTTTTTTTCTTTGTAATATTTGTTTCCAAGCACACTGAAGTCTTAAAAGCTTATGGGAAGCTTCTTATACTGTGTCAATAATTTCCTCTATACATATATTTATATTCCATTTTTGGGAATTTTTTGGTCTTATTAATTATGTGTGTTGAATATTAGCAGCCAGAGTCAAGTCAAACATTTCGATTATATATATATATATATATATATATATATATATATATATATATATATATATATATATATATATCAAAAGAAACTTCCATTGTTGACAAGTTTCTTAACCATTGATACATGTCGATTTTTCTTGGATGGGGAGTGATTTTTAATTTTATTTTTTTGGGGTAGTGGTAGTCACAGTAGAACATCAATACTAATTAACCATTCAAGGTGAAAGGCCAATGACATGGGAGTTTTTGAAAGATAGTGAGTTTTCATTACCACGCCATATAGGAAAGTCAATCAGAGGAGCCATCATTTTGACTATTAGACATATGAATGGAATATAATGTAACAACACTATCACTTAAGGGAAAAATCAAAGAATATTTCAAAGACATCAACACTGTCGTAGAAAAAATTTAAGGGAGAGCTACCCTCATCATAATGTGAATGTTTTCAACTCGAATAGAATTGTCTCCCGTAGAGGATACTTATGATTTATCAACAACAACAAAAATTCCAGGGTTTTTTCACACAAAAAAAGAGAAATAAAATTGAAGGCTCAATTTAATAAAAGGAGTCATGCCTGGAGTTATGATACACCGAATTGCCTTTGATAAAGACTATATTGTCATAATTAATAACCTAATCAAATTTAGTTACTTGTTATATGGTACACAAGTTTGGGTAATTATTTGTGTTTATCAGTCAATGTAAATAACATTTCTAATGTATACGTGTTGTGAATGGTAATGCAAGAGATGGTCAAGGCTTCAGCTTTGGTACCTGTGATCCTAATACAAGAAAGGGTGACCGATCTCTTTCGATTTCATATTTCTTATAAGAAGGCAAGGAAGGCAAAACAAAAGAGCAATGACTAAGATTTTCGGTGATTGGGACGAGTAATATGCTTTTCTGCCAAGATGGTTCAAGTACATATTGCATTTTTTCCCGGGATCTGTGTATCACATTCAAACTGAATAATATGTCATCAATCGACAAGTTGTTAATGGGTTTCGGATTTTTCAAAGTGTTTTTTGGACTTTCAGTCAATGTCGTGAGACATTCAAATGGTGCAAACCAGTTATACAGGTAGATGGTACACATCTGTTTGGTAAGTATAAAAGAATATAATTGATCGTTGTAACACCCCGTGTATACCCAGTTTGTTAACATGTCATCGTATTAAGCCACACTTAATTAAAAATGCGAAATAACTTTTTCTTTTCAATTATGACGTCATTAATATTACCAAGTTGATTACTTAATCATTTTTCATAAAACATCGCATGTATGCAAATTGTATAAAAACACTTAATAACCTCATAATATAAATATGTGAGTATCTATGTCACGGATCTACAACACGTAGTCCGGACCAGAATCCTGATACATTAATGCAACTCAAATCTATAATAAATCATAGTCAATCAATGTGGCATGGACAACTCTCATGTTCACCAAATAAGGCACAAAGCCCAAAAAGAGTCTCAACAACAACAACATGACAATAAATATAAAGCAGGTCAACATCCAAGCATAATCCAAGCATATCATCATAACGCATAAATATCAACTCAGCTCCGGCCTCCTGCCGCCCGAGGTCTTAACCTCTGGGTTACCTGAACCTTAAAATATGCCCTAAACGTGGGGTGAGATCTCTAAAAAGAAATCTCAGTATGACAAGGGGTCCTCAAGGATTTCTCCACCCCAAGCTCACTTACATGTGCAATATAAGTTCTAAAAGCAATATACAATATCAGTTCCAAAATTAGTGCAATGCAACAGATAATCATGTTATGTGTGTCAAGATATTCTACTGGCCAGAAAAATGCAGGATTTACATACGTCTATTACCTACATCAGTATAAGACGCCACTTGCACCTACTTACAGAATCACCGTATTGTATGACGCCACATACTCTGGCTTACCATCTAGATGGAACAACACATGCATATTATAAGGCCCTTGCACTTAACAGCTCAAAAGCACTTCAATCATCAAAATATGAAAACATATCATGCATAAAATCATTCCCCCATGGGGTATGGTGGAACCAACAATGGCTAAACCGAGGACACGAAAGCTTACCTCACAAGCTAACTATCCAAACAAGAGTCCAACCAGCTCAAAGTCCACAAATCGCAGAATCACAATCTGTTTTAGACCAGCAATCATATCAACAATCATACTACAAGCATATAACATAAAGACAACGCTTTCCTTTTACGTTTCATGTCTTTAGGCTTCTCACAAGGCATAAGCCCTTAATCACGTAGATTCTGACTTAGATTAATTATTACAGAGTTCAACTTAATCAATCATAGGTCCATAAACCCATAACACAGTTCTGTCTGAAACGTCCTTGTCTCAGAATTCCCAGAATATCCGGATATTTGTCGGGGCCATATCCGGATATCATATCCAGATATCCATATTCGGATATCATAAAGCCCATATCCGGATATCAATATCTGGATATCATGTCCAGATATCAATATCCAGATATCATGTACGGATATTTCGCGACAGAATGCAGTTTCTTCATCTCGCGAAGATATCCATACAAGACTCAACCTTTAACCCATTTTAACGTCCAAGCATGCATTTCTATTCACTATTAGGTTCATGTTCAGGTTGGTTAATTATTCAACTCATTAACATACCAAGAATCAACCTTTAAACAAGAAAACGTATGATCAAGGTAATGGTGCTTACCCAAAAGCTTCAAAACAGAACCACAAGTGCTCTTGGAGCTCACAAGTCAGTCCACAAATTCTGACTTCAAAGGTACACGAAAATGGTGATCAAATGTTGATTCTTTCACACCAAAGATCACTCCTTGGAGCCCAAAATGCTAGAACAAAGTCCCCTTCAACCCTCACCAAGAAGTCAGCATCCCAACACAAAGAAAAACAACACCTTTCACTCAGAAATGGTTGACCCTCACCCTCACAAGTCACTCTACCAAGTGTTTACAAGGATTAAGAGGAAGGAGTCAAGCAAAAAGGTGACAACTTGGTGGTTTTGAAAAGAGAGGAAGCATGAGCAGGGAAGAGGCTGATCACAGCTCCAAATGACCCACGTAAAATCAGATTATGGCCTAGGGTTTTGCGCCAAAATGAGTATTTATAACTCATTTCATTTTAAACACATAGTATTAACACTAATAGTTACGCTCATCATTTTAATCCCAAACTTTGGAATATGAACCTAGCCATTTTTTTAAGATTTTTCATATTTTTATTTTATTTTTCGCAGCACTTTGCCGGTACGCGCTTTTACGTAGCCGGTATCAGTTCTGAAACTAGTTCTCATTATTTCAACTTGAAACTTGTTTTACTAGTCCTATATATTATTTTAGGAATATTTCCATACTCATTATAATTTTTTGGGATACTTCATCGGTACGCACTTATACCGTGGAGCAGAACCGGTATCTGCACTTTTCGTCAGAAAAGCGACTTTCAGCATTATAATTCACTTACCATAATTATTTAAGTCTTCTCATAATTATTAGGGTCAATTATAGAATTATCTCATTAATCTCATAATTAATTAATTAATTTTCTTAATTAACGGTGCGAGTTCTTACATTTACCCCACCTTTTAAGGATTTTGTCCTCAAAATCATAAACATACATATCTTGAAAGTCGGGGTACTGCCGAAGAAGCTCTTCCTCTCGCTCCCAAGTACACTCCTCAGGAGTTCTTCCTGTCCACTGCACTTTGACCATCAGAATGATCTTACTCCGAAGCTTCTTCTCGCCACGATCGAGAATCTTGAGTGGTCCGACGGGAGTTTTCAAGTTCTCCTGAACCTCCACATCATCCGGTTGCACCACGTGCGAAGGATCTACTATGTACTTCCGAAGCTGAGACACGTGAAACACGTCATGGATGTTGGCCAAGTTCGGAGGCAAGGCAAGCCGGTAGACTACAGGTCCTACTCTACCAAGGATCTGGTATGGCCCAATGAATCGCGGGCTAAGCTTCCTCATTCCGAGGGCCCGACCAACACCGGTGACAGGTGAAAGTCTCACACACACGTGTTCACCCTCACTGAACTCCAGTGGTCGATGCTTAACATCATAGTAGCTCTTCTGGCGATTCTGCGCCTGCTTCAGCTTTTTCCTAATCAATTGGATCTGCTGGGTGGTATCTTGGAAAACGTCCAAGCCAAACAACTTTTTATCTGCTACCTCAGACCAGCAGGTAGGAGTCTGACACCTCCTACCATAAAGTGCCTCGTAGGGTGTCATGCCCAAGCTAGCATGGAAACTGTTGTTGTACGAAAACTCAACCAATGGCAGGTACCTATCCCATGTTGAACTTTGCTCCAAAGTGCAAGCCCTCAACATGTCATCGATGGTCTGGATGGTCTGCTCAGTCTGTCCGTCAGTCTGAGGTGATAGGTTGTACTCAATCTCAACTAAGTACCAAAAGCTCCCTACAGCGCCTCCCAAAACCGAGATGTGAACTTCGGGTGCCTATCACTGATGATACTCTCGGGCACCCCGTGAAGTCTCACAATCTCGCGAACATACAGTCTGGCCAACTGCTCAGTAGTGAAGCTCACCTTCATCGAAAAAAAGTGGGCAGACTTCGTCAATCTGTCCACAATGACCTATATAGAGTCACAACCAGCCTGAGTCTTCGGCAATCCCACCATGAAGTCCATGGAAATGCTCTCTCATTTCCATTTCGGAATCTCAAGGGGTTGAAGTTTACCAGACGACTTCTGGTGTTCAATCTTCACCTTCTGGCAAATCAAACACTTGGACACTGTAAGAACCTGCACCGTTAATTAAGGAAATTAATTAATTATATATGAGAAT